TTTTAGGACTGGCTAGATTGAGCAGTTTCAGAGGACTCTGGGTTATAGGGATGGTCTCCAGTTTTCCAGGTCCTGGAGTGATTTAGGGCAGGGGAAACATTGGCTTGGGGTATGAGAGTTAGATAAAGGAAGAGGTTAGGAATATGGGCTTTGGACTGGTGGTTTTGCATATGAAAGGCTCCCTGGAGTCATTTGCTATCTTTAAGAATTAGCTAACCCTGGTAGGAGCAGTCTACCCAGCCAGCAAGGCCTTGAGATGTCAAATCATCATGTGGTATACATACACAATGTGTATATGTCAAAGCATATGTGATATGCATACACAGTGGAATACTACTCAGGCGTAGAAAAGAATGAAATTCTGCCATTTGCAGCAACATGGATGAACTTGGAGAAAATTATGTTAAGTGAAATAAACCAAGCACAGAAAGGGAAATACTGTGTGTCCTCACTCATAAGTGGGAGCTAAAGAAAAAAGAAGAAAAGAAAGAATGAAAGGAACAACAAACACAATAATATGTTGAACTTTCAGAAGGACAGAACAGAACTGTAGTTATTAGAGGGGGAAAGGGGGAGGGTGAAGGGGTTAGGGAGAAATTGGTTAATGGATACAAAGAATCAGTATGCTTTGTAATGACAAATATGCCAGCCATCTTGATCTGATCATCACCTATTGTACACAAATACTGACAGTCAACTCTGTTCCCCACAGATATGTATAATCAATTATTTTCCAATAAAAAAGAAAAAAAAATTGTGAAGAAGGAAAAAGAAATTTGTGTTAGTTGTTGCTGTTTTACCTCAGACTGCAAAAGTTACAGGCATAGTGCATAGTTAAGACAGAAAAGGCATTCAATTTGTGGGTGAAAGAAACATGAACAGAAACATGTTCCAATTGATGGTAATTGGGTTTGGTGCTTTCCACAGTTTCGGTCATCTACTGGGGTCTTGGAATGTATCCCCTGCAGGTAAGGGGGGGACTACTGTATATTCATTTATTAAAGGCAACTCTATCCCACTGGCATCAACCAGTTCAAAGCACAGTATGTCAACATGGGTGCAGAGTGATCTGTGGAGCTTTAGTTCTAGACACAGATGCTGTCCGGAGCCAAGGCTGATAGGAGGAATGTGACTTTGTAATTTCTTTGCTCTTGCGATCTGAGCAGCAGGGACAGCATTATAACCAGCATTAAGAGCTTCTTCTTTTTTTTTTTAATTGCAGTATCTCATTTAATCTTCAGAATAGTCCCCTGAAGTTAGCTCCATTTTATTGAGGAGGAAATTGAGCCCTGGAGAGGTTTAAGAATTTGCTCGAGGTCAAATAATTTTTAAGTGATAAGCCTGCATTTGAACCCAGTTAAGGTTGGATATGAATTTTATGATCTTAGCTACTGCTATAGTACATCTCAGTTCTTCTTTTTTCTAGTATTCATATTCTTAAAACTTCCTCAGGACTCAAATAATTCATCTTGCTTTTTTACTTTACTTCATATGACCCAAGCCTCAGTATTATCAGTGTGGAATCCATTAAACTATTCGGGTGGTAGGTGGAAGGAAGAATTACCTCCCCTTTTCCTGTTTAGTTTTTCACAATGCAGGTACCTTCAGCCTTCCTGCCACCCAAGTGGTAATGTGACCATATCATTTTCCTTTTCCTCTTCTTCCTTCACCTCAACACTTCCTCAGCACTTTGCATTAATGAATGCTGAGGTTCTTTGGATCACTCTCCTTTGCTATGCTCCATAATCCTTCTGTATCCACCCCTTTCCATTCCAGAGCGTTACTCCATTCCCCTGTTACTTCATCACGGCCCTCTTCAAGTGTTTTTTGTTTTAAATCTCTATTTTGTATATCAAGCTTCATGTATTTTATTAAAGGCATACTTCTATTTGTCCCAAGTGATCTACGGATTGTATTTGGTATTGTTGGGGTTGGAGCACACTCAGGTATAGCATTCTGTTGGAGACAAGATCTTAAGTCAGAACACCATAGCTTTCACTCCTTTGAATTATTTTACTTTTATTTTAAAACAATGTATAATTGAATACAACATACAGAAAGTAGATTGAAATATGTAAGTTGAACAAATAGTTTTAAAGTGAATAACGTGTAATTGCAACAACTGAAAGAAATAGAACTTTGTCATAATCTAAGAAGCCTTCTTATGTGTTCCTTTCCAGTCACAGCTCCTCCATCTACTGGGAGTAACCACTGTCCTGTCTTTTACAGTAGAGAGTTTAAAACATGTCCATAGACATAGGAGGATGTCGTTTAACCAACCTGCATTAACTTTCTTGTGGATTCACAGACACTGTTCATTCCCTTGTAAATACCATTGCACCCCAGTGCCAGACACCAGTATACCCCAGCTCCTTGGTTCAACATGTGGCAAAAAAAAATATGTTTGTCTATTTTAAAATGAAAGAGGGCTGGCAAGTTAGCACTTAGTTTGAGTGCTGTGTTATAACACCAAGGTCAAGGGTTAGGATACCAGTACAGGGCAGCTGCAAAAAAAAAAAAAAGAAAAAAGAAAATGGTTAGGGTAATCTGTATCCTTTTGTTTTTACTTTTATTTTTCTTGTGCTTTGTGGCTCTTTCTACAGCTTCACCACATGGTGAAGAATGTGTTCTATGTATATCAAATGAGCGTAACTGCTGTGGAGGACAGAGGATGAAGGGCTGACTTACGGATGAGGTGACTGGGGAAGCTTTGTGGAGGAGGCAGTGTGTGCACTTTGTTGCAGAGCAGTGGCTCTCGGTATTGGCTGCTTGCTGGAATCACCTGAGGAACTTTTAAACCTACCAGTGCCTAGGTTCTACCCACAGAGTCTCTTGTTAGTCTGGGATTTTTTAAAAGGGTCTCCGGGTGATTCTAGTGTGCAGAACTGCAGAACCAAGATCTGGGCCTTAGACTAGATCATTCTTCTTAAACCAAGACCAGGGTTTTTGTTTGTTTATTTTAAATTTTGTAATCAATCACGAACTGGGTGATATTTTTGTAAAATAGAGTAAAAATGAATTATTAGAAAAGTGACACACACACACACAAAGTAATACAAAGTGGAAGCCCCCCTAATTGTTAGATTCAACAGATATACAATAACTGAATAAAATTGCTATAAAGATTTCAGAATGTTTTATCTTGATTTCTACACTGTAATTATTGTCATAGACATGAAACTGAAGTCATGAACTAGTGCTGGTCTGCAGAATAGACCACCTTTGAGTAGCATTAATGTAGAGGGCAACATAGTAAGAGCTATTAAGTGAATAAAAGTATGTGCCATGGGAAGCATGTTGGGTTCAGATTCTATAGGGTCTTGAATGCTGGGATAAATAGCTTGGCTTTTATTCTATAGGCATTGGGAAGCCAAAGAATTCTTGAAAGGAATGCTCTGATTAGCAACATTGTGTATGATGGGTTTACAGTAAAGAATACGTGGTTTGCAAGGACCTGAAAGGCAAGAGGGGTGAGAGGGTGGGGACTGGGTAAAATAAAACAACTATCAAATTTCTGGAGAAGTCATCCAGGAATGCTAATAAATTCTTTAGATGATACAAGAATTTAAGCTAATTACTCCCTAAAGTATAAGTAATCCAAAAAACATAATTCTAACACCCCCCCCCCCCCCCCCCCCCAAA